GTACTTCACACGTTCGATCTGGGTCTGCATGCTGTTTCCTCAGAGGCTGGTTGGGATTCCACTGCTTGTTTTGAAGTAGCAGAGCGTGAAGAGAGACTCGGGTACATTTTTCTCCACTCTGCCTTCCTTGCAAATGCCTCCAAGCCTTTATGAAAACAAACGCTGGAGGCAAGGATCTTTGATGTCTCTTGACGAAAATTCCCTTTGCTAAGAGGATAATGTATCAGCTCTTTCTGTTTTGAAAGGGTGATGTGGGTGATAAATTATAAGGTACTGAGAGATGACACAGTAGCTCACCAAAATATGAGTGATCCTCATCTCCATCAAGGTAGAGATGGTAATTTTGTTGTTGAATCTTGCTTCAAATGTTTGCCTGTTGCTTGTATGGGCTAGACCTTAACAGAAGTTTTACTATAACTGGGGGTCTATGCGTGGAGCTGTGAGTGACATCCACTGGCCATGTTGCTTATGCGGTGTTGGGAGCTGCTCATCATCAGTACCAGGATGATGTATGTGGAATAGTAACTCATGTAGGATAGCCTTGAAAACTGAAAGACTTGCTGTATTCTTCCCAAGAGAACAATTCATGTTTTAAAACGTTTGGGCCTTGCGGGGGGGGTCTGACTCCAGAGGTGCTGAGGTGTGCTCAGCCGAGTGCTGTGCATGTCTGTGTGTACCAGTGCATCACCTGCGCTGGAACCATCCCAAGCTATCTCCGATTGAGCTATGCGAGGTAAATAGCTCACCTGGCAAATTTTTGCGCCCTCTCTGATGGAGGATTTTCAGTGAATGGACATTGTTTTGCCAGTTTATTAACTGCTTTGAGTTTAGGTAAATGGTCCTGTGAGTCAGCTTCAGAGTGCCAACAAATTGCTCTGTGTGACAGTAGCTTTGTATAAACCTGCTTTACACCAGTGAGTACCTTGCTCAGCTGGATATTTGGGCATCCTTTGGTGAGTCGTAATGGTGGCATGAGCATTGTCATCTGTAACAATACTGTTCTTATTTGTACCAAAACGCTGGCTTTATTTCCCATTAACGGCTTGGGGCTTTTGTGGGCCAGGCTGACCAGACTGTTGTCAGCAGTTCCAGGGGCGTTCCTGTTTTTGTGGATGGTTCCTGCAGTCGTCTGTGGTTGCTGCTTTAGGATCATCACACTTCAAGAGCTTTTGCATAACTTCTTAGTGCACTTCATGCAAACACATCTTGGAGAGGAGGGATTGTTTTCTGGAGAATAAAAAAACCCCAAAGTGGCATGTGCCATCTTGACAGCGGAGCAGGTGTGGGCAAAGTGTTCATCTAACCTGCAGCTATCCTGCTTGCCTGAGGAGAATGCAGCCTCCTCTGGGGCTAGAAGGAAGGATCAGTGTTTTATTTAGAAACTTCAGAAATTCTCTAAAGGATCTTCTCTGAGAGCTGCCTTTCTGTCATCCTGTTTAAAGCCCTCAGCTGAAGACTGGCATAGCAATAGGTTATATCCTGTTTATTCAGATGATGTGAGTTCAAAAGACACAGAGAGAAAGGAAAAATAATGGATTAAAGAAAGCTGTGGGAAGGAAATAAACTTTTAATGTGGTATGCTAAAGAGGTACGAAATAGGAGTGTTAGGAAATGTTTGGTAACATCTTTAGAAAGTCTTGCAGCCTACAGAAACGCAGGAATATTGTGGAAGAGAAATAACCCAGTGCTTGGGGGATGAGGGGTTTACTCTCTGCTGCAGACCTCCTTGCCAGAGACAGTTTACCTCTTCAGGCCCTGGCTGCCCATTTGCAGAGCTGGCATCTCTTTCATGTGGAAGCTGAGTCTGGGTGACGGATAGCTGTTACCTCGAGGATCCAGATGCCTTTGAACTCTGCTTTCTTATCACAGACTTTATAAGACATGGCAAGTGTGACCCACTTCTGCCCTTGCACAGCTTTACTGCTGCACAGACCCAGCCCTTGGAGTTGCCAAGGACTGGATCGCAGAAGTCATCTGGGTTAAAACAACGGTCTTGCCTCTCCAATTCCCCCCCACAACCAAGGAACTTTTAGTGGTCTGCTTCCCAGCCTGTTCCTGTAAACCATCATGCCGGGGTTATACGGCTACGTAGCATAGCTGAAATGAGCGGTGGTTGAGAACAGAGTGCGAGCGGGCAGTGGATGGCTTCCAGTGTGGATATGCCTTAGCCCAGAGTTGTTGCCAAAGTCTTCATAATGGGGAATTAAGGAGTTCCTTGCACAAAGGAGTATTTTGCTTCCCAGGGGGTTTCACTGAATTCGGTGTCTGGATTAAAGTGCTAATTAACACAAAATAGTGCTTGATGCTTCACTGTAAGAGTAACTAACACTGTTGATAGTTGGTGTATAAGCATAATGTATGCTAATGAGATCCCTACATTTGAAAAACAAAGCTGTTGATACTGTGTGTGTGTCCAGGCATTTTTAGTGGGCTGGGAGCTTTCCTTTCTAATCAGAGCTCATGCTCCTGTGAGATTTCCTTAAAACAGAAGGGGTTTTTTAGCTCTTTGGTGATTTCTTCTCCCCTGTGCATTAGCTGCTTTTTCAGTTCCTGAATTTTGATCAAGGCTTGGAGGCTACTTTTAGCTGGCTTTGGCTTGTTAGTTTACTTGTTTTCAGACTAAGTGTCATTTTTCTCTCCTAAGAGGTGAAATGCCAAGATTATGTCATTCCCACTTGTATCTAATAACAGCTTAATCCACAAATAATTGCAGTGAAGTCACTTGGACCACTGGAAGAGAATAGTTTGATCCAAAGACCACTGAAATGAATGGGATTCTTCACTGAGAACGAAGCAAAGCTTTGGGCCAAGCCCTGGGGTGCTGTCCCATGTATGTGTGCGTGCATGCGTGTGTGTGACACTGTTGGGCTGTGCTATGGAAACCAAATTTCATAAAAATCCCTGCCAGTTCTCCCAGCTGAACACTGGTGAGTAAGAGAAGATGCCGTACAAACAGGCAGGAGATGCGTTAGCAGCCCCAAGGTGGCAGAGCAGTTGCCATAACAGCCAGCGACAGACGTTATCCAGGCCCGCATCGTTTCTGCTGGAATTAGAGTAGGAATGTAGGTCTCCCAGCTGCCAAGTGCATCTTTTGTGTGCCCAAGGTGTCAGTCGCAGCTCTGGTGTAAGCAGGGGACCAATGAAACTGTAAACAATAGCAGCGACAGCAGGCAGGATTGCTGATTTGGTGCAGAAATTACCCAGCTGTGCCACTGCGCTCTTGTAATCGCATTAGGAAAGTCAAAGTCATCAGCACGCCCTGAGCCCCGCGCGGTGGGGTGTGCCGGTGGATAGGCAGGCACAGCACGTAAGCGTGTGAAGTCTGTGCCTGGCGAGATCCGAGGGGAAGAGCCGGGGAGGTGCATTGGCAGAGCTGTGGGTGAGTTCGTGCGGTGCCTGCCAGTGCTGCTCTGTTCCGGATGCGCTCAAAGCAGCTTACTCTAAAGAAACAAAGGCAAGAAATAACGGCAATGAGTTTGTTGCTTTTAAAGGACAAATTTAAAGGATTTAGCTTTTCTGGCAAATGCTTTAATTAAAATGATGATGTCTTTTGCCAGATCGCTGAGCATTTAAACCCTAATCAAGCCCAGAAGAAAGTATTTCCGTGGAATGTTTTCACTGCAATTCCTGATTGAGATTGTGAGGAGGAGTATTATTTACAAAGATCTCATTAACAGACGTTATAAGGTTGCTTATGCCCCCATGAGAATTGATGACAAAACTCTCGTGGCCTTCATTAGAAATCAAAGCCTTTTGATGCAAGGTAAATACGGTTTTGGGTGCACATATAATAAAGTTATACATATTAGCTTAAAAGCAGCTTCTCTGGAAATCCTATTGGAAATTCTTAGTTTTCCTAATGTGTAAGAGAAATCCATTTTCTGTAGGTATTTTTAGTGCTAACTTCCTCTCAAGTGCTATTATCTTACACCCTGTGCCATTAGCGCTTGCTGTGTTTCCAGGCCAGCCATGTGATTGCTCAGCATCCCTGCCTGCTTTCTCAATGACTTGTCAGGCAGGAGCCAGAAAGGCCAGTTGTTACCGCTGGCTGCCGGCAGCTGCTTCTCCCTGCCTGGATCCTGACTGATAAAACACTAAAACGCCTTCCTCTTGCCCTTCTTGGAAGGTCGTCGGTGTTCAGTGTGAGACCCTGTCAGCAGAGACCCTTCTCAATACGAGCCTCTTATGTAGATGTAAAAATGTATTCCTCCGCAGAAGGCACGCATGTGTGGGAACACACAACAGCTACACTATTGAAAGGCGTTTCAGAGCTGCACACTGCTGCTTCTCACTGAGCCACGGCTATTTTAGCATGAGCTGGATGAAGCGGTCTAGATTTCTGCATTTTTTTTTTTATAATTTTTTTTTGCCACTTGTTACATTTGCAACTCAAATGAGCTTGCTGTGCTTCAGAAAATTGCAAGAAATGAAAAGATTACAGCCCAAATCCCTCAGTGAGCTTAAATATGTCTCTCTCTGTGGCAAAACAGCCTAAGGCAAAGTATTTTAAAAACAGCAGTGCTGATAATGAGAGCTAATAACTTTCCAGATGTTTGCTATTTTGCTACATATGACTTTTTTAAAAAGGTATTTAAACTCATCCTGCCAGTTGTTGTGGATGCCTCTGTGTGTGTGTGTTTAATGAACAGCTGGCTCTTTTGAACTCGGAATTTTAATACTTTCAGTTCCATGCAACTGGAATCAGAGGAGGCGGCTGATTGTACGAGAGAGGGAGCGCATTCTCTCATGTGAATTCAGAAGCAGAGAGGAGGGGAGAGCGCAAAAAGCATCGTAATATTGCGTGTGTTTGAGTGGATCAGACCTTTCCTCTATCTGCATCCAAGCTATTTGGTTGTGATCAGATGATCAGAGCTCAAGGAAGCGATTGGAGAGCGAGCTGGCTGCAGCTGCACTGTAGGCTGTTTTCAGGGACAAGGAGCCACTGTTTTTCAAACATAGCATAAACATAGAAGTTATTTTGTAGGCTTCAGGATGCAGATATGGGTTGTGCTGCCAGCATTGTTCTGCTCCAAGCCTTTCGTTCTGTGGTACAGAGGAACTGTCCACATATCTGCAGGCGCCGACGACGAGAGGAGTTGTCACATGAAATTCTGCCGCTGGATAGCGATGAGGAAATGAGCAGACCCAGGACTCTCATCATAATGGTACGGTATACTTTAATCGGCAGAGCGAGGTGACAGAATTATTATTACAGATGTTGCATGATTATTTTTTTCCTTTAACTATGCATTCGTAGAGAAAGAGCATTGACAGGCTGTTTGTCACTGTAGATTACTTTGCTGGTACATTTGCTGTCTCTGTTGTCAAACAGAGCTGAAATGTCACTTTATAGGTGAAACTGTGAGCTACACATAAGCTCTATATAAAGTAAATGTTCTGTTATTTAATTCTTGGTGGGTTTTGTTGCTATTTGTGAGATAGGCAGCACTGGAGTTGGTAGTGTGGTTATGTTTTATTTCAGACTTGGAATTCCAAACAGCAGACAGCTTAGGAAATGTTTACTAAGTCTCTTCATCATAAAAACAAAAACAAACCCAAAAAGCCAAACAAAACAAAAAACCTTTACTTTCACCATGGATGCAGTTGGAATTTATAGAAAGTTATATGCAAATAAACTCCCATGTATCTTTGCTGCAAACTGTTTGCAGCAGTAAAATGTTTGCTGGATCACTGCTTTCCAGTTTAGTGGGTTGCCTCTGTTCTTTAACGAAGGGGGGCTTGAAAGGCTCTCGCTCTTTGAGAGTCATTTTCTTTCGGAATTAAATTGGATGATTTTTATTTGATGGTGGGAATATAATAAGCACTATAGGTTTATTAGGAATAAGTGACAGGGATTTTCCTCAGTATAACTCACTGTTTCAGAATGAGGAATACGCTTACTGCTTAATTACTGCTCTTCCTTGCCAAGTACACATATGGTGAGCATTTCCAGAACCCTGGAGCGGTTTGGGTTCGAGGTGGCAATGATTTGGTACTGTGTGGCTCTCACTTGATAAAAATATTACCAAAACACTGCAAATAGTATACTTGCCAGTTTTTCATGTGTATCATTTGAGTGGTAAATATTGGGTTTTTTTATATAAAGTACATTATGATGAAGTCCAAAGTGTATCCCCCTGATACCCCCCTGTATCACACAGGGTAGTAACTTAGTTGTAAGTGGGTGATGGTAACATTAGAGAATTTAATAGCTGTCATGAGATCTAGCAGTGGTTTGAATAGAGCATTGCTGTCCGTAGAGGGGTGTGTGATGCAGTCATGGCAACTATAGTAGCTAGGACCCAATCCAGGCGGTGCTTTATATATCAGCTGAGGGCATTATCCAGTGCATGGGGGAGGCTAATGGTCATAAGGAGGAAGGAGATGGATTGCAGCATTGGGAAGCTGATGTTTAAGCTTCTTTTGCTTTAAAATCCAGTATCTATAAAACAGTCTTTTTTTTTTTTTTTTTTTCCCCTTTTTTTCTGCTTAATGGTTAAATAAAGACCTCAACAGCATTTAAACAAATAACTGTCTCCTTCCTGATAGTAATTTCAAGCATGATGAAGTGAGAATGGTCTGGAAGAAATTGCAGCATGTCCAAGTATGGATCATTTGTGGAACTTGCTTCTGTCCTTGGAAGAAAAGGGTAGTCTTGGGTGTTGTGGCAGCAAACAATGTACCGACCTCCTGACACCCAGATGCAGTTATCAGCAGCTTGAGTTGCACTTTTTGTGTGGTAAATCCTGGGAGAGTGCGCCTCCAAGAGCCACCGCAAAGGTCCCTGGGCTCTTGGAGAAGTGAGGCCTTCCCGCAGCGTGCAGGGGGCTGTGGAAGCTGCCCACCACCCTGTGGAGCTGGGGATACCTGAAGGAGAGGCACGCTGCTCAGACGGTCTGTTACCTGCTGCTGGGTGGGGGCTTTCAGGGATCAAACACATCCACCCATCGTCGTAACAGGGGCTTTATGTTTTCTACAGCAACAGTTAATGCACTGGTGTTTGTCATGTCAAAAGGTTGCCCTTACCCGGGAGATCTGTGGGATCATTTCCTGCCCCTTGGTCCCTTTGAGAAGAGGAGGATGAGCGGCTCAGCCCTGTCAGGAGGCTGGTGTAGGTGCAGGCAGGCGCTACGGGGGAGAGCTGCTGGGCAGGGGACAACTAGGAGGAAATGGTCTTCCCTTGCACATCTTTGTCTTCTGGATGGGTAATATTAGTGTGCCTTTTCATTTAGAAACAGTTAATTATGTAACTATCTAAAACGATTTGCCATTGAGCTTTCCAGTTAGACTTAGTAATGATGTGGAGACCTGGAGACTTGCAAAGAAAGTGCTGCTTCAGAGCACTTCTGCAGCAGAAATGGATGGTCCTGTTTCCACCAGAATTCATGTTACTTGAAAGAGCAGTATGATAAAGAGCGCTGGAGGCTACTGGACCTTCATAAAACATCTGTTATTGTCCTAACAGATTGTTTTTTCCCCTTGGTCTGTTGTAGATCACTGAAGTTTATGTCTGGATAATACAGTGGAGACAACTATGTAGACAAGCGAAAGAGGGTTTAGTTCACAGTGTCATTACGCACATTGTGCAGGTGCCAGGAGCTAAACTGATCCCAACAAGATTACTAAGTTTTCATGTCTGAGGGCAATGAGTGATTGGGGAGCCCAAAGAAGAGAGACGAGGAAATTCCAAAATGCAGAATATCTGAAATAGATATAATACATATAATCGGAAATATATGTCTGAAACTTGCATGCCTGGGTGTAATTGCCAGAGTTTGTGGGCTCCTGTCAGCTGAAGATCCGGCATTTTCTCTTTTCATGCCGTCAGATGAAGCGGTCCTCCTCTTTGTAGCTTGTGTGCCGCTGGCTGTATGCTCCCTACTGAGAGTGTTAGTATTTAGTATTGATTTCAGGACATAAACTATGCCGCCTTTTTGAATGGCTTTTTTAAGTCCCTGGGCTCTGCTGCATGTTCTTGCAAGTTTGCCTGTCCCATGTGAAGCAAAAGTAAAATCTCAATGTTGCCTTGCTACGGAAGGCAAACCTGAGGCAGAGAGGGCAGCAGTCTACTCTAAAATACTTAGAGTAAGTATACTGCTCTATAGATGTGCCCCGTTTTCCTTTGTTAATCCCTGAAGGGCAGCATCCTTGTAGGATATTCTTCTAATGAATTATGCCTTTGCCAGTGACCTCCAAGCAGGAGATGCTGTGGGTGCGCTCCGCTCTGTGAGAAAAGAAAGGGAGAAGGTCTGAGTACCTAAGCTATTGCTTAATGGCCACCTACTAATCATTGCATGAAACCTTCAGGCATCACAGCAGGTATTTCTAGCATTCAGGTCCTTGCAGAAAGTGAAGACTGATGTCTTTATTCACTTTGTTTTTCAGTTTGTTAGTTTAGAAATCGTTGTATCCTTGGACAAGACAGATTAATAACCAGTTTTAGATCTTGGCTGCATCCACAGAGCAGGGAGAGGTGTCAGAAAGACAAAATGGGAAATTCTTTGTCAATTACTGTTGTGTGTCATCTTCTCTTGGACACAGTCCTGGCAATTGCCAGAGACATGCAAATTAACCATCCAAACAACCTCTAACTAGATGTACAAGTTGAATCAATGTGTTCAGTGACTCTGCATTTAATAGATCATCTTGTTTTCTGTACCCTTAGGAGTATGTGTGTAAGAGCTGGCTTTCAAAATAAGTCTATCAGGTGGTGAGGTCTGAGATATTAAAAATCTATGTAGAGTGAATGCAAATGACTGTACGTGCTGTTTCTGTGAGAAAAAGGAGAAGAGGAAGATGCCTGAAGGAAAAAAATTTAGTACATGGGGTTATGTGAGACTCTTTGGTGTTTGGGGTGGGAGGACTAGCGTTTAGGATGATGAACTTTGCATTTGGAATTTGTGACTTGAAAAGAAGTTGAGCTTTATCTAGTAGGTCGTTCTTTGTTCATGTGATTTATTATGAACTGTGGTAGTTGCAAATTGTGTGGAAGATGAGAGCAAAGCGTAATATTTGAGGATATGATCCTTTTCTCCGCTCCCCCACCCCCCCTCAACCGTGGTAACCAGCTACACAAAAACATGGTAAAATGGTTTGCATTTTGAATAAAATACCGTAACTTGAACTGATGTGTTAGCTTGAACACAGCAACAGCAAGGTGACAATACTGCTCTCTTTATTCAGTTTTTCATCTCTGAAAGGAGACGGCTTGCAGAGATTTTTCTCTACTCTTTCCAGTTCCAGAAGCAGGAGAACGTCCCATGTTGCCCAGATGCAGGACGGCTGCTCTGCTCTGGTGTGCAGGTGGGCTGGGGCACTGCCCGAGCTGCTTCTCAGGTCATTTAGTTTGTAAAGGGAATTTTAGTCTTCTAAAAGCCCTGTAAACAATAAAAGCATGCCTTTGAGATTTTTTTTCCCCATCTAATACTAAAGCTTACCTTCAGAATTGCGTTCCTTAAGTTTTGTTGCATGATCTGTGTTAATTTTATGTTTCTAGCTGAACTAATTTAGTGCAGTTATTTCCTCCTTTGTACGTGTTTACCTACAGAAAATTTGCACCATATGCATACTAAGTGCTACCAATAGATGGCAACCCTAAGAACTGCATCCGTGACTCATGACTTTTTTTGTAGGTGGGGATGTGTCTGTGTGTACCCAAATGTCGTAGAGACAGACACGACACTGAATATCAAGTTGCAGCAATCGTATCTTCTATTTTACAAGCAGTTCTCTTTTATATCTTTTTACCTGGATGCTTATCTGTACGTATACTCTACCATTCTACTCTTGCCCAATCTGCTCTCACATCACACGCCATCCAGCCAATACAACTGTTGATCACGCGCTGTTCATGCTCTGGTCAAAGCCAGGATGTTTGCCAACCCTTATCTTGTTTGCTCAGATCTTCTCAGGATTCTCCAGTCTCTTCAAGGGTACACGGGTATCTGCTCAGGGTCAATGTTAAACTTGTATTCTGATCCCTTGGACCAGCTGAGGCCTCCCACACCCAAATGGGGAGGACTCTCAGCAGTTTTGGAGGTCAGCATGAGGCTCAACTCTGGGAAGAGAAGGGTGTTCTCTTCCTCGATGTCTTGGAGGAGGGATTGTCTCCGGAAAGCTAGACTACCCAGGGCTGTAAAGTTCAAAAGAAATATTCAAAATATTC